GAATTGAGAACATAGGTGAAAATGAGCGTTTTTGACAACAATTGATAAGAAAATATAAGCCCGCATGCAATAAAAATGTTTTCAAAAGTTAATCAACTATAGATTTTGGCTATTATCCCTCATCGTGGCCTTTGTAAAAGAATTGGCTGACTGCCGCGAGTACACGGAGAACGCTTATTTGAATAACTATATTGCCAACTGAACTCTAGAAAACCTGCACATATGGTGAAGTTACATGTATGTCCAGAAGCAAACCAATGGTTCATTTCTACATTCGCTCAAGAGACTAAGAAAACGGCATGAAAAACCTAATCGATATGGCGGTCATTCATCATTGGTAAAATCAATTACTTTTACAAATTATATAATTACAAAATTATATAATTATATATAATAATATAAATTATATAATTACAAAAGTAATATCAATATTACTTTCTTTTTTGATGTTCGGTATAGTCTGATGCAGCAGAAAAGAATTTTCTTGGCTCTTATACTTGTGTACCGATTTTATTCGTTTAATGTCATCGGGCCACGTGTTGGAAAATAATATGCATACGAGTATATTGTATGTGAATCTTCTGAAGTGAGTTGTTGAGGATGACATCTGAAGAATGCGATTACTACTTCAAGTGTTATGTTAAGCGTTGAGGGAATTGATACGAGCAGTCCAAGCCAACCACTTTACACTCCTTTGCGTTAGCGCAGCCGGTTAAAAATGACTTGCAAAGACACTACAGCTGAAATTCAGTACTATTTGCTAATTACATGCATTTTAAGAATTTTCACCCAAACCAGGACTCGAAACTTTCTCCTTGGTTCTTCCTGGAACCAGAAAATCCAGGTTCATTTCCCAGTCGGTGTGACATTTCTTTGAACAAGTTTAATTATTAAAATACATTAGTTTCTCAGTAACGAGATCACATCGTGGATGCATTTACTGTTGCGGAAATTTTTCTAACGTAATTGCTTCTCCAAAAAAGTTCAGGATGGTGACAATTGAGGGTGCGTTTTTTTTTCTTTTTCTTGTTTCATTTATTTTGCGTCCTCTGCAACGGCAATCCAATACTACAAATTTCGATTTTCAATCTACGAAACCACAATCCTGCAAAATTTTCCATCTTATTCTCTTGCGTTCCGCCATGTGCGATTCCAAACAACTTTCGAAAACGCCTCTTGTCAGAATACTCCCATCAAGATGCGGAGCTGCCCGGCCGATCCACCCCTTCGCCCCACAAACAGCGCCCTAGATACGGGCAAGCGGCGCGGGCCGTCCCACGCCCACAGCCCCACAAGTTAAAAATAGCCGCCCCGCCCCCGCCCCCGCCCCGCCCCGCCACCGCCTCGCCCCCCCCGACCCCGTCCCCCCAGCCCCGCCCCACCCCCGCCCTTCCTCGCCCCGCCCCTCCCCGCCCCGCCCCGCCCCGCTGCCGGGCATTCGCTCATTGCCACTTGCGTGGGGGCTCCCGATATAGAGGCAATTTAGGGCTATCCTTGGGCGCAGGCCTAGCACTCGGCGATGCGGCGGCACGGAACAGGCCTCGCTCGTTAACCGGGCGGCCAAGCCACGCGTGGGGAAGCCTTGTGAGCGAACGCACTCTGGTGTTAAACGCAAACTTTCTTTTTTCTCCAGGCAGTTAACTAGCTGATTATTGTGGCTGAATGAATCGTGTGCCCAGGCAGCAAGACAGTAAACAATATTATGGCAGATAAATAATTATGTATTACAACATTGATTTATTTTGTTTAATCTCAAGTTTTTGGTCTCATACACATACCACACAGATGCAATATCAAAGCTTGGTAATATTGACATATTGAAAATCTATAAAATAAATTAAGGCACTCTAACACATTAACTTAAAACAGTTTCCACAGTTTCTGCGGAAATTTAGTTATTATTGTTGTTGTATCAAAACTTGCGTGTCCGTCCGTCCATCTGAAGTCAAAGACAGCACCTCATCAACCAATTAGAATTTCTTCGAAATTTATATTCTCCAAAAGGTCTAACAAATTCGAAACCCTGCTGGTTTGAAACGGATATTTGAGGATATTTGATTTTGGAGGATTACAGTAAACCAACATTTTTCAAATTTCCTCAAAAATGGCTCCAATATTAATAAAATGTTCTCTGCGGAGAGAGTAGAGAACGTTTAAAAAATGGTACAGGTCTCATTTTTGTTGAAACCTCTAAGTTTTCGAAAATAGCAAAAGTTAAACATTTTTCGGCATCTTCCTTCAATAACAATACTGAAGATAGATATATTTCCTGAATGAAATTTGTTTTGCGAAAATATCTCCAACTAATAGCACGTACAATTGCACAAAAATATTTTGCAATTTTCGCGTAATTTTGCATGAACTATAGGCAACATTTAAAAAATGAGGTTCTTAAAAACCGCTACAATTTTCCTTCTTCGATAGAATTTTAAAATTATGTCTACGACATGTTTCCAGCAAACCCAAAGTATTTTCTAAACTTGCAAAAACTTAAAAATATTTATGATAGAGATTTAAAAAAATCTGTTTTGAACAAATAGATCATTAAACCAGGTAAAGTACATTTTTAAAGGAGTAGCTTTCGTGTAATTTATGCAAACCGTTAATGAAATTTATAAAAATATTTTGTATACAAAGGATTCCAATTTTTTTTCTTCATGTGTTATCCGCGGACAGAAGTAACGCTTTAAAAAAAGTAAGTTGCCTTTTTGAAAATTTAGAACTTGTAAAACTTAATAAAAACATGCTAGAAAGTATCGACTGTTTTTGCATCACGAATTTAAATACTACTATCCGATAAAATATACAATACAATTGATCCCTATGATTTTGAAACGAATTCTTTGATACTGTGGGTACTTTACTCAAACCCTGAAATATTATCAAAATTTTATCAAAGTGACTCAACCTTATTGTTAATTTTTCCTTGGATAGAACAATAACTCATTAAAATATCATAAACAATGAGTTAGAAGAGGGTAAATCTCAAAGTCAGGCATGGGATACATTAAGGAGAGAGAGAAAAGCAAGAGAATAATGGGGAAAGAATTAGACATGAAAGAATGGTATAAATGGTTCCAAAAAGATTTGAAGGAGAGCATAACATGGAAAAGATGGAGACATGGAGTGAGCTCAAGGAGGATAAAGAAATAAGAGATGTATTCAAAGGACTACAGAGAGGAGATAAGAGGCTGTGATATAATTTTGAATGACATCTGAACCTATTTTAAGGAAGAAGGGATAAAACGTATTTACTAAGATAATTGATGAGGAGGGCGTAATTCAAGAAATGGAAGAAAAGGAAAAAAACAGGGATTATGCCAGTTTAAAAGAGAGAGGACAGAAGAGAGGCACGATGGCGAAATGCTGTCTTAATCCAACTCCGAGGCCGTTTCAACATTCCAAACCTCTCTCATCTCTCTCTCTTCTCTCTCTCCTCTCTCTCTCCTCTCCTCTTTCTCCTCTATCTCTCCTCTCTCTTCTCTCTCCCCTCTCTCCTCTCTCTCCTCTCTCCTCTCTCTCCTCTCTCCTCTCTCTCCTCTCTCTCTCCTCTCTCTCTCCTTTCTCTCTCCTCTCTCTCCTCTCTCTCTCCTCTCTCTCTCCTCTCTTTCTCTCCTCTCTCTCTCCTCTCTTTCTCTCCTCTCTCTCTCCTCTCTCTCTGTCTCAAAAATTGACGTCGCCTAATTCTGCAATTGCTAAATCGTTGGCAGTGGATTTGATTTTTTAGTTTTTTTTACACTATTCATGGTTTTTTTATTACCCTGTTTTTTTGTTACGTCGTTCAAAGTTACTTTGGGAAGTGAGTAATTTAATTTTTTTAGATCTCTGGTATATGGTATGTTCTAAAAGTCATTGCGGCTTTGTTGAGCACTAGCACCCATGGCATCATGTCACACGTGGGGGCCACATTCAAGAAATCTTGATAATAATTTCCTTAGAATGGAGAATTTTTCGTATGCTTCTTTCTTTATTAATCCTTTTGAGTTTTCACACTTATTTGTAATTTTCTATTGGGAATCCAAATATTTAAAAACATATTTGAATTTTAGGTGAAAACTGATTCTTGATTGTCTCGCTCACCGCCACTGATGAAACCCCTTAGTTTAAGTAGCAAAGAACAAATTTCAATTGTTTTTCTTACGTGTCTGTAGAGTGATAGATTTTGTCTTCCCCTATAGTGTTTTTTTAATTATAGAACAATGCTTTCCATTTCACAAATTATGTTAATTCTAATGGGTCTATAATCAAACGTATTGGCCGATTTTGAAAATAATTGAGTGTGAGTGTTCTTATTATTAAAGTATGAAGGCACACCTTCATACTTTAATATTATTTTGCTAGGTCATGAACTTCAGTCAACTTTTTGTAGCCTTCAACCAGTACATGAAGTACGTGAACCATTATTAATTTTACTGGATCTGTTTTTATTATAAATGTACAAATTATTTCGGTGCTCTAATTGACGAAAGTGTCAGATATGGTATTGGTGAATGGAATGAGAAGTATTTAGGAGTTTTAAATCATTTTCACATTTCTCGGGTTACATACCTTAAGCCAAAAATCAGTCTACACCACAGTTTTCAATATCCTTTGCTTGAGTCATTTCATCGAATATTGGATTCATTTGTTGGGATACAAGTAACATATGATATGATAACCGTGGTGGCGGAATAAACCGTTGATTTGATGAGCTTAATATCTCATACTATTTGTGTTTAGCTTTAACACAGTCTTGAAGGTTCACAAAATCTTTAAGTTCTTCTTCCAATGTGGTACCTGTCGAAGTTTCTTCGCTTCAAAGTAGGAATACACTTTTGTACTCTTTGTTCCGATGGTGCTAAAATTTCCCGGTTTCTAGAAACAGTAGGGGATCAAGAGAGCGTATAGCGCATTGCAAGAAAGCATATTATGCATTTTAATACCTACTCTGTCTCTCCCGTCCCTTTTACCCCAGTCCCATTACCGCACAAAACTACCTTACATTAAAATACAATTTTAGTTTAGGGAAACAGAACATCTCACTTCACGATAGTGTGCCTCAACAGACGAAAACTATTATTAAATCATTATTGGTAAAGGAAAAACTCAAATTAATTATCTCGTACCAAACAGAAAATCGACACAATACAGTATTTTATAATCATTAATTTTATTAATGGTTATAAATAATTTTATAATCATTAATACCGCAATTTTTATAATATTTGCCTACCGGCTTCCAGCCTCTTCTAACACGTGAACACATGTTACACTTGCCCAGCACTTGCCACCCAGACAG